GCTGTTTCCTATCCTTAGACCTTGCCTCATCTCTGCCAGAGAGGATCTATGGTGCAAATTATTCATGGGTTCACTGGGAGAACACCCGCATGGCTTGGCTTCAGGCTCTGAGCTCATTCCAGACAGTTCCAGTTCTGCCCTCGGCAGATTCCCATGTCTCGGACTGTGTCCTAGAGCCAGTTCCAGCTCAAACTCTCCTGTCCTCTCAGCAGGGCTCTCTGGAGCAAATCTGCTCGCCCAACTTAGGACTGTATTCACTCCTTCGCTCTTTGCGGAGCTTATCCGCGCAGCCGCTAGGTCTCATTATGGATTTCGCTCAAAAAGCTTTTCTGGGACATTCGACTGATGCTCCTATTAGCAGCAGAGAGGAAAATCTGGGAGGAAAGGAAGAGCAAGTAAAGTTTWCCTCCCTCAAATGTTTTCAAGCACAGGATTTGTCACTAAAAAAGTGGAAAAAATAAGATGGGAGAATTAGCAAAATAACCCGCACTCAGAGAAACAGAACAAATGGCCATTTTCTAGCACAAGCAGAAGTACTTAATAAATGAAGGACAGGCACATACGTGCAGGCACGTGCACACAGCCAGGACGCTGCCGCAGGGCTTAGGTGGTATTTTCACGAGGCTTCACAGACATACTAAGCACCCCTTAACATCTGAAGGCTTCATCTTCCATTCTGCATTTCTAGGAACCATCCCGTGATGTGTTCAGACTTTGCCAGCCCTGAGCACCCTTCCACGGAGAGCAAAGAGCACAGCGGGGAAGGAGGGAGGATGAGAAACAAGCACCACTGCTGCGCTTTGTAGTACACACTCTTCAAAGGAAAAACTTTCATTAAAAAAAATCCCATTCCCTGCCTAGGCTAAATTCTCCGTGGCACATGCCTGGAGTTAAACCTACCTACTTTGTCCCGAGTTTACCCCGTGCTTGCTCAGCAGATGCAGCTGCCAGTGCTGATAAGGGAGCTACGAGAGCAGTGCTGATCGCTGCCATCCTGGCCGCACTTGAGGCACCACAGACAAGAGCTTCACGATCAGAAATCAGGCRTTAGGAGAGAGAATGGAAGATAGCTTCAATAAAAATAACTCAATAATACGAGTGTTAAATTCTATTTCCCTGCGTCCCTGCTGCCCAAAGGCTGTACGAAGAACCTGGCTGAGGAATCGCAGCGAGGTCTGTTGTCCAGCACTGCTAACGCACAGCACYAGAACCGGCACCGCCTGCGCTGCCCAGGCTCCAGTACACGCACAAGAAAMCATAAAACATCAACAGCAAAAGAAGCTGGGATAGTCGTTTGAACAAAAGATACATTTTTAAAGCAGTTTTGGACCTCAAAACTTTCACCAAATTTCCCCACATGAAAAAGTACCAGCATGTTCTTAAACACTAGTCCTTTGATCATTTGATTCCCGRTTTCTTTTGAGGCTGTCGTGCAGGTGATTTGGATGTGACCGCACCAGCCATGGACCTAACCAGAGAGCTTCTAAAAAGCCTGAAATGCTCAGTCCAAGGATGTCTCGTCCCAGACATCCTGCCTTGCAGCCTGTTGTGTTAATTAGTGTCTCCTTGTCTGCCTGTGCACTAGGTAACAGCATGGCCAAAAAATGCCCAGAGCTGTCTGGGCAGACGGCAATTTCTGCGAGCTGGTTGGGCATTAGTACAGAAAAGCAGCCTAGTCTGCAGGAGGAGCATGGTGAAAACAGGTTGAATTGTCTGTGCTCAGGGTTACTTGCACAATTTTAGGAGTACAGACTGGTGGGTCATGCAGCTGGGGGTAAAACTGCACAGATTGACACGCTAAGTCCAGCACGCTGATGTTTTACAGCAGTGCAATTCTAGCCACACGAAGGCTTTCACTAGTGTGACTTTTGCACTGGTAAAATAATTGCATCCCAAGTGGAGCAGCTATACTGGGTCAGCTTTGAAGTAGCTGAAAGGCTGGGCAAATGCCCTCTTTTTGAAGCTGCATGGGAGAAGTGATGCAAAACAGCTGTGCACAGAAAGAACACAAGGACAGGCTATTTTCTGTGTGGTAATATTGCCACATATTTCTTTGTCTTAAGATGTTACTGCTTTTCTGAAAAATAATAAAAATGCTCAATGAAGGCTACAAAGCAAAGAGCCAAGAGCTGAAGGGGTGGAGGTCAGTCCAGAGAAGGACATAGTGCTGCAAAGCCTCAGAAGTTTCCACATTTAAGCAAGAAACTGTGGCCTTGCTTCTCCACTCTGTTTATGGATACTGTAAACACAAAACAGCAGTGGGGAGGAACCATTAAAGTCAGTTAATCAGCCCTGCCCAGACACTCTCCAGCGTGTCGTGGGAACTCACAACCCCTTCACCCCCGAAACTGCGGTACCAGCCAAATTGCCAAAGACCTTTTAGCAGCTTGGGGTGTGTTTTCCTGCACCAGTCGTTGTCAGCTAAGGGCTCGGCTTATGGGGCTGCTAGYGCTCAGAGTCCTCCTTGTCCAAAGAGCTTTCTGGCTGGTACAAGAGAAAACAGGGACACGCAGAAGAGTGGGGAAAATGTGACATGCTGCAGCCTCACCTGCATCCCCAGAGGTTAAACGGGCCTCTAGAAAAGCTTCCCATTTGGTAGCACTTTAGAAGATTAAGCCTAGAGGGTTTTGCCTGGAGGAGGTCCAGCCGCGCGGTCCTGCACTAACACGCAGCACCTCTGAGTTCCCTGGCGTGATTTAAAGGAAGGTTCACAAAGCTGCAAAAGACATATATATATATATATATATATATGTATGTGGAACCTAAGGAGAGGCGTGTGGAAAGAGCTTGCAAGTTCTTAAAGACTTTTCAGAGAGCTTGAACTTCCAGAAGGCAATTAATAAAAATCCATGTTGGGACATGGGCTGATTTCTAGGCAGTGTTGTTAAATACAAGCTCAGACGAGCAGCGATACACGACTTGGGACAACATCTAAATACAGGCTGTGAGAGAAGCATCCCGTGCAAATGCAAAGGCTCCCACCACCCTGCTCCACATCCCCTCTGCCGAGTGCTGCAGGAAGAGCTCTCTGCCCTCACATGTTATGGAGATGTTATGGTCTATGGCTTTTGATCTTTCACTTCTCGCTCTGAAGTGGCCAAGTGGTTCAGAAGAGGGCTACACTGCAAGACAGACTGAGCTGTTCAGCAGGATGCMCACAGGTCACTGCAGCACCTCTGGGACCAGCCAAAACCTGTCAACTGCAGCAGATGTCCTTGTGCCTCCACCCACAAGACGTTCCCAGAGGGAAACGGCTTCAAGCACACCGTGACATTGGCAGAGACCAATGCTTCCATCAGAGCAGAAGAGCTGCAAACCATCTGCTGGGTCCTGGCCCGTTACCACATTGTGACTGGGCACTTCACGGGCAGCACTATGGGTCGGCCGAGGGCACGAGAAAGTGGCATCCAGGACATCTTAGCTCGAGAGAGCTGCACAAAAGACTCCATTCATACATTGGCAGAAGTACTGCTGGCTGCCAAGAGACCACAGATTGCCATAGAGGGGACACAGAAAGACAGAAGATGACAAGTCCTCGGGAGATAAAAGGTTGCTGAGACAYAAGACTATAATATTTTTCTGAGGGGAGGGAAAGGAGGCGGTTTACACGACATCAAAATCTATTGGTTGGAGATAGGAGTGAATGGACTGAACGTGTTTCTACAGCCCCGGGCAGAAAGTGATTCACCCTCTGTAAAAGAGCCTAGAAAAGGACAGAGGGCAATTTATTATCTTATCTGCAAACAAAAACATAACATAAATAAAGACTTCATRTAGTAAAGCATAATTGTATTTCAAAATGGTAAAACGATTATATTTACCAGTAAAATCATAAAGAACTAACAAAGCTTCATTTTCCCTTATCCTGATTCTTCTAAGAGAAAACAAACAAACAAAAAAAAAGTTAAGCTAAGCAGTCTGGGGAGATTAGGAGGGAGGTATATTTTGTGATAAGCCCTGAACAATGTTCYTGTAGAGTGTAGGCACTGAGCTGGAAGAAAATAAAGCCTCTGATAAAGCAAGAAATTCTGCAAAGACAGCACTAGCTCCCCGAGCTCAGGCGGGAATTAGAAGGACCCGTGGACGCACACAAACATGCCCACGTCTGCCAACACGGCGGCGGCACGAGCTATCTATAGACTTTTATCCACACTGAACGAGCAGGGCCTGTACTGTTCCCTCAGAAAAGTTTGTTTCCAYAGAACCTGGCACAAAAAAGCACACAGCAAAGCTCAGTGGCACGGATTAGGTAGTAGGACAGGTTGGGAACACAGTATCTCCCTCGGTATGAGAGTGTTTTGAGTGTGTATGACAAAAATAAGCAAAAAACAAGACAAACAAACAGAAAACCCAGAATATTCTCTTTCTCATTCAATCTCTATCTATTAACATCACAACATTGCTATTGGGGAGAGCATGAGTTCTGCAGCCTGGCCGGACCCACTGCTCAGCCCTTCCCTGCATGAGCCTATGGACCAGCCATGTTATTCCGTACCTGAAGCAGGAAGCAGGGAGAGGTGCAGGCAGAATTTGTGAAACAATGAGAGTTGCTGACACATGCAATACGTAGAGATACATGTCTACAAGCAAACTGGCCATGGTCAGCAGCCCTTCACAGAAWGGGCTGCTGAAAGACACAGCTTCAAATTTGCAATCGGTGTCGACTTTACGGCCCTGCATCCTAGAAGTGAGAGCCCATGCAGCGACCTCGTGAAGGAGAAAAGAGTTTGGGTGGTAGAAGCTGCACCTCAGTATCCTGAAATCCAGCATTGCTTCCGTGAGGTAAATCTAAAACGTGGTATTTTGAACACCCACCTGCACTCACCTCTGCAAAGTATGTGCTGGAAATGTCACCCAAGCACGTGAGCGAACAAAAGACGCTTGGAACACATTTCTGACAGCTTTGTAACGCCCAGGTTTGGACTTCAGGGCTTTATCCCTAATTCCCCAATCCTGCTCTAACTGCAACCGCCTTCGGCAGAAAAAGGAGACGTACTCACCCTTTGCAAGCTGAACGAAGCCAAGAATGATGATCAGGGCCAGCGCCAGCAGTTTGGCCGCAGCGAAGGCATCCTGAACACGAGTAGCAGCTTTCACACTGTAGCAGTTCACCGCTGTGAGCAGCACTGCAAGAGAGAGGCAAGAAACGGCACGTTAGTCTCCAGTGGTATCTTTAAAATGCAAAACAAATTGTCACAAACTGTCATTAGCTTTTTGCTAAGATTCAAACAAAGTGTCGCTTTAAAAAAAAGTTGCGATGTTCACAGCTGTAACCTTAGGCAGCAGTTTTAGGAGCTCTTTTCTAAGGATTTGGCAAAGCCTGAGACCATTCAGCACTGCATTAGCCACAACTGGCCTCCAGTCACAGAGAACTGCACACTCACCGCTCCCACCTAGGAAACCAGAACCCCATGTTTCCCTTCAAAGACTTGCTGTATTTTGGGTAGCCAACCTAAATATCAAGCTGTGCTGTCCAGGAATTAAAATAGAAACATTTGCAAGCGATTCTCTGCAGCCGTACACTTCTCTGTTGTGTCTTCTGCTTTTGCAGCAGGTGCTTTGATTGCTGCATGCATGCTTTGGGACAAGGAACTGGCCCTTTGCATGGAGAAATTTTCTGAGGGCTCATAAATAAGAGCGATTCTTGCAACCGTTAGCGTCGAAGCACTCGGCTGCAACCCTGCTAAGTTACTGCGGTTAAGAAGTCGGGGCAGGTTAAGTGAAAACACCACTGAAATGTCACAGCAGCTTCTAGAATGATGTATTTGTTAYGGGCATAACAATAGATCCTAAAAGTACTGTGCACTATATTAACTCACAGGAAAAGGCAGCCCCGTCCTGACACGGAGGCGGGAAGGGACCCGGCTCTATCGCGAGTGTCACCCCGCGCTTGCCCCGTTGCAGGGGCCAGGACAGGGCCGGCAGACGCCCAGGGAGCACCAGGACCACGGAGCAGCTTTCCCRGGTGCCGAGGAGGCGACGGGCTGGCCAAGGGCCCCGCTTGGCCACAGCTGGCCCCGGGCATCAATTTGTGCAGAGCTTGCGCTTGATGACACTGCCTCCCCGCGCAGCTGCGCGGCATTTTGCCTCCGGGACGTCTCCCCTTACCGAGGCTGTATTAATGCAACAAATTAGTGCAGTTAATGAAACCTCGTTTCCGACTGCTTTTTGCCCTGTGTCCTTGTAATCCTCCTCTCTGGCATCAGCTCCCAGCAGCAGGAGCAGGAACAGGGGCTGCTGCGGAGCCTCGGAGCTGCTGGCTCCAGCAGGCCGAGCTTTGCCTGCAGGATCGCAGGTTTCTCCCTCACACCGATTCTTGCAAATCTGGTTCAAAAATTCTTGCAGATTCTTGCAAATCTGGTTCAAAGACAGGTTGGGAAGCTAAGGAGAGCGCACGTTACACACACGGGCAGAGACTCCACATGCTCCCACGCTTGGCCAGCCCAGCAACTTGCAGCCCTGCAGCCCATGTCCGGCCCCCGGGCAGCTCAAGGAGTCACCGCCCTCATCCCTTTTCCCTTTAGGCTTTTCCCTGCAGGCTCTCATCCTTTCCCGCTCAGGTTGCAGCTTATATTTTTACTCATCRGGAGCCGGGCAAGTTTTGCTAAAGCTGGAGCCAGGCAACCAGGGCTGCTCTACGTTCCGGGACGYGTTGGAGTAAAATCCCGTGGCCGCATTCCTGCGCGTGCCTGTCACCCGCTTCCTTTTCACCCTGGTCTCTGCCCTTGCGGACTTGCTGCCACATCCTGCTGCTCATCCCTGCAGGACCCCACAGGGCCAAACGCTGCTCCTCCAAACTTCGGCTTAGACCCCAATCACCCGGCCCTTCCCATCTGCAGGGTTTGGGGGGGTGTGAGGTCCAGAAGGGACCAGAAAGGGGTCCCGGGAAGCAAAATTACCTCCCAAGGGACAGTTGAGGGTCTCTGCACACATGAGGGATGCAGCACCTGCCTGTGTGGACTCATGAAGCCACCTCCAGCCTGAGTGCATCCGCACGCAGCTCTCCGAGGAGCTGCACAGGCTCCGGACAGGATCTGCTCGCTCCGAGCAAGGCACATCCGTGCATTCACACACCCTGCCTAGAACAGCGAGAGTAACCAGCACTATAAACTGCAAATCAGGAAAGAAAGCTACAGGAGAAGGATTTTGATACTTGGGAAGACCCTACTGGCTCATCCCAGGCAATGTGGCCTATGAGAAAGCAACTGCATTTCCTAACATGTCAGGGAATCAGAGCTCAGCCCACGCCAGAGCCGGGAATAGCTTTCCTGGAACACACGGACATGGACGTGCCGGGACGCCCTCCCTGCCTGGCCTCCCGGAGCCCTCTCTGGGGCCGCGGTACCGGTGGGACAGCAGCGATTCCCGTCGGAGCTGCCGCTCCGGAACCACTCCGAGTTGCATCATCCATTGACAGGGGCTGCGGAGCCCGGCCCCGCAGCAGCCACATACATGAGGCCGAGAGGTTTCCAGCGCCTGCGTCTCTGCTAAGGAAGCTGCACAGGGATCAATCCAGGCAGGGAGCAGCAAAGTCCGTCACAAGGCAGCCCAGTATGGGAATGCGCTTGCAGCATCATCCGACACAGGCAACAGAAATGGGAAAGAGAAGTGAAAAAATACAACGATAAAACGTGTTTCCAGCCTAACACAACAATAAAAAGCATTTCCAGCCTATTTGGCACTCTTGAGGAGTGCGGAGCGTTTGCAGCTATTAAGAGTGATCTGGATCCCTGTGTACCTGCCTGCAGCTACGCTCAGGCACCCTGCAGACATACAGGGCACGGGAATGTATGAAAAACAGTCAGCAAGGCTGCCTTATAGTACGTCCACATGACGGAGAGGAGGGGAGGAAACGTGTCTGAAATATCCYTAAACACATATTCCAGCTTCTCTATTAAAGCCACCCTGGTGAATCCTAGTGGGGAGGAGGGAAAGGGAACAGAGGAGCCAGGATTCACTTCGAACAGCAATTAGGCTAAAAATAAAACTCTCCTTGTTTACAGAGGGATATTTAAAGGATGAGCTAACACGTCTAAAAGCACCCTTTTCCCCTTGGTGAGCACAGGCCGCCGAGGTGCTGCATGGACATTCTCTTCCCCATTTAGGCAGCCTGTTTCTGTGACAATAGCGGCTTCTGCCTCCACATTCAATACTCAGCTATTTCGGGTCGTTTTACCATGCTCTGGGTCYGGTGGGAAGTCTGCTTTCTGCGTGGGCTGTAGGCATGGCCATGGTGTGCATAAAAGGGAGCAGCTTCTACACCTCCTCAAGCTGAGGAGCAAGGGAAGCTTCCGTATCAACCCTTTAAAAAAATATCAGTGCCCAAGAAACAAGCTTTGCCAAAAAACAAAAATCTTAGGGCTAAAACAGCGAGATCTTCCATGCCATCTGCGATTCGTGGTCTTCCAAGTTGCAATTCCCATGCTTTGCTTTCCCACCATGCAGCAACATTAGTCTTTCCAGAAGGCATGTGGAGAAATCCCTACATTTAAAAGCTTTCAGCCTAGGAGAACTGCCTTGCTAACCAGGAAGGACCCTGCAGATGCCAAGACACAAGGCAGACCAGCCACCTTTTTAGTGAAACTGAGACAAATTCCAGCGTTGTTCAGCTTCTCGGGAGACCACAGAAATGGGGTTTCTTACAGCACAAAGTTTTCTGCCTTTGATGTGGGATGCAACCCATGTGAGGCAGGCCCCGAGGGACTCCTGGCATTGCCTTCACCTCAGACGAACCGCTCCGCAGGAGCGCAGGGGGAAGGCTGCACAAGCCCAGCTTTAATGTGAGCCAGAGGGATGACTCAGTRCAGGGCAGGATCAGACACACGGCCTCTTTTCGGGGCCTCCTTTCCTAAGGCTGCTGGCGCTGGCACCAGAACCAGAGGCGGACGCCCAGCGCGACCCATCACGCTGCTCTGCCCCAGAATGATCCCAGCAGAAGGGATCTGAGCCCGAGCTGCAGTGATGCTGCCTCATGCGGCAGCTTTTATGCTCCTTGGACAACGGGAGCCACAAGGATGCCAGGATCTCAAGTGCAAATGATGCTTCTGGGCCCTGCTCATGTGGAACAGCCCGGGCAAGCGCGAGCCGCAGCGCGAGCCACCCACGAGCACAAGGAAACCCCACCAAGTAGCCACAGGCTTTCACAGAGCAGCCTTGTGAAGCGCACAGCGGATCCCGCTCCAGCTATTCCCTCTGTGGTCCCAGTGGGCGACAGCAATAACAATTAATCCCTCCAAAGCAGACATCGAAAGGGACAGTGGCCATCCGCACATCAAATAAGCCCTCGATGATCAAAGCCCGTGTGACAGCAGCTCCTGTGTGTGCAGGCGCAGCTGCCCCGCGGCCACGCGGTTCTGCCCACAGCAAACAGGGAACAAAGGAGCCCTAACACGGGTAAAGAAGGGCTGGGCATTTATGCTGCAATGAACCTGGCAATTACCTTTAAGGAAAGGTAGGGCTGGAGGTAAGGGAAGGTGGCCAAGGATCACAGCAAAGGCAGCGCTCGGAGAGCAAACAAGCAAGCAGCAGATCCACAGCACTGCTGAGTCGGGAAAAAGGAGCGGATTCRATTCCGGTCGCACGCGGATCTTGCTGAAGGGAGATGGGAGTTTGCCCAGGACCTGCTGCCCGTCTTTGGTGGCCTCTCTTGTGCAATTTCTCCGAGAGGGCTGCTGCCCTGCACAGGAGGGCTACCCACCTCCCTGGGGCTCCTTGCGACGTCCCTTCGCTTCCCGTGTAATCCCATATCCACCCACACAAGGGGACAAACGTGTGCATGCGTCTCGCTTGGAATAAGCAAACTCCATTAGCTGACTGCAGGTTACTCAAGGATTTCTATTCCTGACACTACAGGTGGAGAACGAAAATGCCCACAGGGTCAGGAACTTGGGGAATATCTTGCAGGAAAGGAAGGGGAAGAACAGCAGGAGATGTTCCCCTCCTGCTTCTCCACCGGGAAATGGAGATGGAAATACTGCAGCCCACAGAGGATGAAACCTGCAGCGATTCCTGCTCGTAATTTAGACACTTTCAAAGCACTTAGTCCTTACCAACACAAGCTGGCACCTCCATTTCCTGCTGCCACAGCATGATGCAGCTTTTCTCCTCACACTTCCTCACAAAACTT